GTAGAACGACATACTTAGGGAGATTACAGAGTATGTAACTAAGAACTCTACCTGCCAGCAAGTAAAGACAGAACATTAGAGGCCAACATGGACCCTACTTCATTTACTCATTTCGGAGTGGAAGTGGACATTTATTTCTATGAACTCCGTAGAATGATTGCCAAACTAGAAGAATGGAAAACAATTCAGTTTGGGTGATAGTTGATCGGTTGACGAAGTCAGTATATTTTATACAAGTGGGAACGACTTACATGGAGGAGGCTTGTGCGAAAAACATTTATTTAAAGAGACCATAAGATTGCGAGGAGTTCTAGAAACGATTGTATCAGATCGAGGCTCGGTTTTTACTTCACATCCTTCGAGAAGTTTTTAAAATTTCTTTCGGCAGCAAATTATCTTATAGCAGTGTATTTCACCCGCAGGCAGATGGGCAGGCGGAGAGAGTAAACCAAATGTTGAAGGACATGTTGCGGGCATGTGTTATATATTTCCATGTTAGGGAATTCAGCGATTTAGTAGACGGGGAAAACTTACCCCGAGATATGTTGGACAATTCAGGATTTTCCAGCGTGTTGGAACAGTTTCATATAGAATAGATCTTCCAACATCGATGTCAAGTATACACGATGTTTTTCATGTTTCGATGCTTAAGAAGTATTTACTTGTCGAGGAATAATAACGAGTATTAGACGTGCCGGAGAATTAGCTCCATGATGATTTGACTACGATTGAGATTCATGTTCGTATTCTTGTTATGAGAAAATAAGAGACTTAGAAATAATGTGATTTCATTAGTCAAAGTTCAAGTATTTCGAAAAATAGCTAAGGAGGCTTCTTGGGAGTACGAAGAGGATATGCAACTACCCACACCTTTTTGAACATGTAAATTGAGCTAAGGAGGCTTCTTGGGAGTACGAAGAGGATATGCAACTACCCACACCTTTTTGAACATGTAAATTGATTTGATTATAATTTTCTCATGGTTTATTACCCACACCTTTTTGAACATGTAAATTGATTTGATTATAATTTTCTCATGGTTTATGATGATTTGGATAGTCATATTTATATTTAAGACTAGAATGGAGGTATTATCACTTAGCTCCTAATCATTCGGAACACATGGTATATATATGGGGGGTTCCTTGTTTAGATTTTTCGCCCAACGTACTAGTTCTGTGTAGTTAGGGGTTAAGTGGGAGTATCCACATTTTAGATTATTTAGCATAGATATTGCTAGTGATTCATATCTAGGGATTAATAGTATGAGATGTGTACGAGAGGGTTTCCTTATCTGGATTATCCCCTCTTAGTGTTTTTCTCATATTATTAACTCTTAAGATACGTTACGAAATTTCGAGGACGAAATTCTTTTAAAGGGGGAAGAATGTAAAACCCCAAAAATTTAAATATTTTATGATAAATAATAATAAATATATTATATGGTGAAGAATAATATATTTTGATGTTTGAATATGATAATAATTGATTTAAGATCAATTAAATATATAGTTGTGAATATATATATAAGTGCAAATGTGCAAAACATGTACAAAGACCAAAAGAAAAATCTGAGAATAATGACCAGTTATGAGTTTTTAGATTTTACGCACTAATGTAGTTAGAATCTAAAAAAGTATAAAAGACCAAAGTTGTAGGTCTCTTCAGCAGCTTTCTAACAAATCTTTAATCATCTCATTCTGAGGTCGGATTCAAAATTTACAGCTAAAATACTGAAGAATATGTTTCTAGTCAGATTGAGTTTTCCAATTTCGGGTTTTGGGTTTTGGGCTATAGTTTTTTGGATTTGCTGTGATATATACACATATTTATACATGAAAAATACCTCTTTTCTCTTGTGTTCCAAACCCTAGCATCCCCTCTCCTCCTCTCTCAAACCCTAACCCTAAACTTGTGTTCTCAGGAGAGTTTCATGAGGCGAAAAACGAGGAGAAGGCAAGATTTGCGGCGTTTGGCATCAATGGATCATTATCACACGTTTTTGGGAGTTCATCAATACCCCTCAGGCGAGTTTCATCTCGCCCAACTCTGCACCCACTTTTTGAATGATTTTATTTGAGTTTTTACATGGTTTATTTGAGCCTAAAATGCTATTTTGTGTATAAAGTTGAATCTCTATAGAATATGATGTAAAGATCAAGTTTTGGTTTATAAAAATCCACCAACGAATTTTCTAAATGAAGATCTAGATCTGAAATTTATTCCTAACAAGAGTTTTAAATAAAAAAATCTTTGTTTTTATATGTTTCGACATGTTTACACAAATCCAAGAATGTTTTCGTTTTATCTATAGTGATTAGATTTTTTTCATATGCTTTAGAAATGTTAAATGCTGAGGAATATTATCTATGTAGGATTTTTAGTGTTCAATATTTTTATATAAAAGTTTTTGAATCAAAACCCTCAGAGCAGAAAAACATGCAGAAGGTTTTCTATACCTGCGCGGTCGACCGTGGTGGTCGACCGCTAGGCGCGTAACAGAAACAAGAAGTTTCTATTTCCTACGCGGTCGATCGTGGCGGTCGACCTCCGAGCGTGCAGGTGAGCAGAAGTGTTCTGCTCTCTGCACGGTCGATCGTGGTGGGCGGCGATCGACCGCTGGGCACTTTTGTGCATGTGCATGTTGTTACATGTGTTTGTGTGGCTGGCGAGATACCTAAGTTGCATGGGATTGATATACACTGAGATTTGTGTACATGAGTTGATTACGGGCATGAGTCTTAGATTTATTCACCGGGATATTAGAGTGAACAATATATATGGTGGTTTTTAACATTATTTGCATGTTGCAGTCCTCGTGTTGGACTATAAGCTACTGAAGTCCTCGTGTTGGACTATAATCTATTGAAGTTCTTGTGTTGGACTATAAACTACTGAAGTCCTCGTGTTAGACTATAAACTATTGAAGTCCTCGTGTTAGACTATAAGCTATTGAAGTCCTCTTGTTAGACTATAATCTGCTACAGTCCTCGTGTTGGACTTTAAGCTATTGCAGATTTACGTATTGACATATGACAGATCTTTGAAAGTATGGTTGGAGATGAAGTTATATTTTCACATTGTAGTTTGGATTTGGTATTTAGAGGAGCTGTCTTTCATTATTGCTCCACATGGTAACTTTTGGATTTAGTATTTAGAGATTTACAATTTAAGACATGGTATATACATGAGGGTTTTCTTGTTTGGATTATTTCGCTCGACGTGCCATGCTCGTGTTATAAATTTCTAAATATTAAACCTCCATTTATATCAGACTAGATGATTGTTTATCAATATGTATTAGTAGCTATTTTCTTATCCTTCTAGCCCTTCTCCCTGGGGTTGGTTGAGATGTTACTCGCTATAGCGTATTGACGCTCGTTGTTTCCCCCCTTTCAGATAACGAGCCAGGTGCATGGAGAGTCGTAGGTTGATGGAGCTGCTCTAGTAGTTATTTATCTACATTACTAGTAGTTATGTCAGAACTCCACAGTGTATGTGTTTATGAACATTTGAGTTATAATTTTAGTTTTGTAAAGGCGGTGTACCTTAATGTCATTTCATTTGAATTCCTATTGTGAGATAGTTATATCAGTTTAGATGTTTTCTTCTCAGAGATTTATCCATTTATATCCGTGGTGATGATTTTTCTTCAGAATATCTGTTGTTTAGTATTTCTTTTGTATATTCCCTTTTGCTTGTTTTGTACCTACACATGTTGTTGATTCCACTAGATAGTAATTGTGATGGTGAAATGTGTTATTGCATGGTGTAGTGCAAGACAGGTTTGACACTCTTGGTTTTACCTTGAACTGCAGCCTTGTTGAAACCACGGGCGTCACATTATATAAACTAATCCAGGATCAATTGTTCACTTAGAGCATGAAGACGGAAGATTTACACGAGTATTTGTGTCTTGGATCAATTGTTCACTTAGAGCATGAAGACGGAAGATTTACACGAGTATTTGTGTCTTATTATGCTTGTTGGAAGGGGTTAGACGGAAGATTTACACGAGTATTTGTGTCTTATTATGCTTGTTGGAAGGGGTTTATGGAGGGATGTAGGACAATATTGTTCTTGGATGGTACACATCTTTTTGATAGGTATGGTAGAATTCAATCTAATCAAAACTTGCATTAATATACAACTTCATAGTAAAATATTATACTTTGATTCATGATTGTTCTTTTCTTTTATAGGTATAAAGGAACCTTTACTTGCCGCAACTGTTCTAAATGGAGATGGAGGTATGTTTTCCCGTAGCAATTTGCATATGCGGGACGAAGAATGAGAGTAATTGGGAATGGTTTCTGGAATGCATTCGAGACATTCTCTTCAATGATGAAGATCTATATACTCCAGATGATGAACTTGTGTTAATCTCCAAAGGGACAAAGGACTTCAGAATTCTGTGAAGAAATGTTTTCCATGATCACATCACTCTTATTGTATTTGTCATCTTTTGATTTTCATGGTTAACGTGCTATACTTACAGGTTAACGTGCTATACTTATTGAATAACGTGCTATACTTACAGTATAACATGCTATACTTACAGCTTAACGTGTTATACTTACATGTTACATGCTATACTTACAGGTTAACGTGCTATACTTAATGTATAATGTGCTATACTTACTGTTATCGTGTTATAATTACAGGATAACGTGCTATACTTAGAAGATAACGTGCTATATTTACAGGATAACGTGCTATACTGCCTGAATAATGTGCTATACTTACTGAATAGCGTGCTATACTTACAGATTAACGTGCTATACTTACATGATAACGTGTTATACTTACAGGTTAACATGTTATACTTCCTGAATAACGTGCTATACTTACAGGATAACGTGCTATACTTACATGATAATGTTCATACAAATCTATCTATCTACCTATCTATCTATCTATCTATCTATCTATCATCAAATCTACCATAGAAGCCATATAACAATAGTAATATAACCAAAGAATGCAATTGACAAACTATATACAACGTTCATACAAACATATATTTCATAATGACAAACAAACTATATACAACTTGCATGACAAACTATATTCCAACAGCAGTCCCATTGGTTTCATAATGACAAACATATGTTCATACTGACAAATATACATTAATACAAATACTTTACAAATCAATTTCCAAACATATGTTTACACTTGGTTAACTATTGCTATCACATTTGACAGCTAGCATACGGGGAATTAGCCTTGAGGATCACGTCCATCTCCTAAAATCAAAATATAACTGGATCAAAAGAATAATAGAGCAATAGACTGAATATAAGCGGTTCAATGAACATTACACTTATGGAAAATATACCTTCAGATAGAAATAGAACAACGATACGAACTCTATGTCTTGCACAATCTTTTTGGTCAATTGAAATTGATTGATCGGAAACGTGGCTAAACATATACGGCATCAAGAACACCCCGCAATCCAAGCTACTGCAAGTTCAAATATTTACAATATCAATGTAACACTCTTGGCCCGCAATTATATAGTTTCTATGTGTTAGCCCATACAAAAGAACAACAAATGAATAAGTCGAATACACTAACCTACGTTATTGAGGTACGTCAACACTTTCTATATCCTGACAAGAAGTAATGTCCAAATTCCAAGCATCGGGAATGGTAGAAATAAGCTTCACTCTAAAATCACTAGCATCGGACATATATCCGCGTAGAGAAAAATAATGATAAAATCTTCTATCCTTTACAGAGAATACCAACATATGCCAATGAAATAAAGTTAGGAGTGGGAAAATAATATTATCAAGTTCATGGAATCGAGTAGTCGTTATTGGCTTAAACATTCGATCCACACTCGACGGGTTATTTTCATTGATGCATCTCTAAAAAACAATGAAAGTTAAGATTAAGTATTTAAGATAACTTATGAATAATACTTATAATCTCGGAGGATTTCTACTTACAATTACTCATAGACTACATATGTGTATGTCCTTTGCGTAGTTTGGACGCGTCTCCATCAACCTATTTAGAAGCACAACATAGGAGGCTATAACCTGAAATGTAGATAATATAATTGTAAATGTTAGTGTTATATACTACACGTGCATTGTGTGAATAATTAATCCCAGAGTCCCCTGTTATTCATCTTAACTATTTTTTAGAAGCCCTAGATAAGAGCGACTCTAAGGTAAAATGCTAGTTAAGCTTGGTTATTACGACAGAGAAAGGCAACTCTTTCCTTTTCATTTGAAATAATATAAAGTTTCTGAAGAGTTTTAATTGACCTTTTACCTACTAATAGTTGACAAAGTGTCTATTTTCAACTTAAGAAATAAAAAATATGGACAATTGCTTTGCTTTAGTTCTAGTTTCCTAACAATGTTATCCAAATTAGTTTATTCAATTCCAAGCACTCTATCAGATTCAAACTTCAACATAGTGCTTTTGTGTCTGTAGTATCTTTACCTTTGATCACATATAAAAAGTGAAGAATTCAGATGTGACACTCAAAATTAAGTTAGTGTTATATATTACACGTGCATTGTGTGAAGCATGAAAAGTACGGATACTTACGTCGCAACTAATTGCCTCTCCTTTAAGCAATTCCAATGAATCCTTATGTGTTATCAACGCATCTCTAGATGACAACACTAATGTCTCACTACATATGAAACAAATTTATAACATGTATTAATGAAAAAACTTAGTACAACTTGAAAAGTAGATCATTCATAATACACTTACGTGGCCATATTCTTCTCCTTCCAAAAGTTATCTAGCAGTTCTCTCTTGTGATCCCTTCCTTCCTTCCCGGATAATTTGTTAATCCTTTTCTATTAAAAAGCGGAACAAAGGGAGAACGCATTGATGGTCCAGCATGCCGAGATCTCGAGAGAACTGTTCTTTTGATGGAAGGGGTTTTACGCATGCCTTCAATCAACCTAACATTGCGCGGGCTTAGAACAAAGACGTCGTCATCCACTTCCATTGAATCCAGACCCACTTGATCATTACCACCATCCCCACCATCATCTTTACTTATATTCAATCTATCAACATCTTCACCAACCTCCGCTTTCCCTCCGACATCCTCATCCATATCTCCACCATTCCCCTCCTCATCCTCCTCATTCCCCTCATCACCCCCCTCCTCATCCTCCTCGTTCCCCTCATTATTTCCCTCCTCATCCTCCCCATTCCCCTCATCATCCCCCTCCTCGTTCCCCTCATCCTCATCAGCGCCATCACTATCATCTCCATCATCCTCGTCATCCTCATCTCCTCCATCATTATTAACATCCTCTTCCTCACCAAATTTGTCCCTCCTTATCTTCAAGAGAATGTCTAATTCCACTTTTTTCAAGTATGAGCTGATCCAACTCAGCTTTGGTGATTACCTACACATAAATAACCCAAGTTCAATTCAGGAAAGAACATCAAATAAAAATCATTTTGTAAAAGCATTAATAGCAATTAACTAACATGGAATAAAAAATATATATACACCTCTCTCTCTCTCTCTCTTCAATCTTGTAGGGACAGATTCAGTTGCAGTGGATGTAGTTGCAGCTTTTCTCTTTTCAAATTTATGAGCCCTCGACTCGATAACATGCTTTCTAAAATTATCCGGGTCTCTAACTAATTCTTGAACTGCACTGCTTCACAAAGAACCCGAACCCTTGTAGAAGCTAAGGATGGGTGGTAAGGATTCTGCTCCTACGCGAAGGCTTAATTTTCCCACAAGCTCATAAAACCAAATCTATGAGAAAATAAAAATTTTAGCTCAACAATAAACATTACTAAATGACATATATATATGTATGCAATGGAAATGACATTAAAATGTAGTAAAGGTTAACTTACCACTAAAACCGAGGCAAAACCCCTCATATAACCACCTCTAGATCGATTTCCCTCAAACCTCTTAGTGATGGTTTTCTTAGCCTTGTCCATCTCAGTACGCAACACATTGTATACTAATTCAGTCCAATTATACTCCTTAAGAGTGCCCAATTTTTCAGCATATCTAAATGCAAATAAGGGACAACTCATACTAGCTTGAGGGGCATGATATGAAGCCTATAATGAAAGCCACGAGCATCTGTAGAAAAATAGGATCTCTAAGCTCAGCCATCTGCTTGATAAGTTCACACATCCTATCTCTTCTAGCACACACAATCTTCTTCTTACCCTCATCACTTTTCTTCTTACCTCTTTTAGTCCTGTGCTTCATATCTTCTTCAATTTCAGCCTCAGTACTATATGAAAGCACAAGCTTGTAGATTATATCGCAATCACTTCTATAAAACCGCGTGTCTACTATAGATCCTCCCACCGGAAGGCCCGTAATTCTTCAACACCAAGGGAGGTCCATTTTCCTCCAATTTTGAAACTGCTTTTTTCAACATTAAATACTCCCAACAAACAATCCATTATAACTGGTTGCATTGGAAGATCTGGAACATCTAAATACCCAGAAAATGGAGTATCTCGGAGGGAAGTTCGTTGATCTTCCGACAAATTAGCAGAAATTTGATTTTGAACAAGGTCCCGGAAGTACCCAGTATTGGATGGAATTCGTACTAAACCCATGAGATCGAATTTTCTGCAACCATAAAACATAAAACAACTTTAGTTGTTTATCAATATTATACATAATTCCTTCATTAAAACAAATTTCAAAGCCTATGATTTCAAAATTGTAACAAACAATCTCAATTCTTGAATATCCAACAACATTTTTTTCATTTCCTTTTATTTCGGTAATATTTTTATATCAAATGTTAACAAATACAACTTTTGTATCAAATGTTAACATGTGTACGATAACATATGTACACTAACAGACTTTTGTATCAAATGTTAACATATGTATAATAACAGACTTTTGTATCAAATGTTAAAATCTAGCATCCGGGGTCTTGAAGATCACGTTGATGTCCCAGAATTGTGATTGAATATATTGCATAAAAACAACTATACGCAATAAATTATGAATTTCTAAAAAAACGTAAGAAAACCAATACCATTCCTCAGTTATAAAGTCATGAATTCAAAACAATATAAACGCTTCAACTAAGTTAAAACTATTGAGTTTAAGAGCCAATAATTATCCATGCAGTCAATATCCAAATATCAAAACCGACAATGAAAAAAATCGACGGCAACCTAGCAAATGCTCATGCTAATGAGTACCTCAAACGGCGAGTTCAACAGCAATGATGACTGAGACGGGTGACAGCGTCGACTGCGAGATGTGTCGACGGCAAAGGGACAGCGAGATCGACAGCGGGATCGAACTAAGAGGTCGACGGCGAGATTTGGGACGGAAACGAGGTGACGGAGCAACTAAGAGGTCGATGGCAACGATCGATCGCGAGGTCGACGGCAACGTCAACAACGACGATGGCTGGAGACGGGTCACGACGGCTGGAGACGGGCGACGAAGGCAAGGGGCTTTCGTTTTTTTAATTTAGGGCTAAGGTGATAATGGGATTTTGAGGAGAGATATTGGTTTATACAGGGAAAGGGGTATTTTAGAGTTTTTACCTTGAAGCTGTATAAATACAAGTGCTGAAAGTATTATATTTGAAGATTGGGTTTAAAGATAAATACAAAAGGATAGTTGGGCTTAGAGATATAAATAATAATGGGTGGGTTTAAAGATAAAGTGGAGTGAACAAATGGGCCCAAAAACAAAAACACCTAAATTGTAACTTCAACTGGGTTTCTCTCTCTCTCTGCAACTTTGGGCCCTTAACACAAATACATCATGTATTTGGGGCTGAATCACATGGCCCAAAATACAAAGGGCCAGGTCCCATGGACTTCCAATATTTAGGTCTTTGACACAATTTTCCCAATACTATATCATATTTCCTTAAAGTACTAATTACAAATCTCTATTCAGTTGTCAGCATATGGGATCCAATTTCACTAATATGTGGCTCAAGATGAAAAATAATAGAGCCACAAATTGTTAGCGCTAACGAATTGATGTATCGCGAGTAATGCTACTGTAAGAGTAGGATGCCCATGTCAAAATGGGTGGATAGTAGTTGAGCAGGCTCAATAAGGAAAACACTCTCGCGTAGCTATTTTCACCTCAGTTAATTCCCAACTATTCATGATAAGATAATGTGTCACATTCATCCAAGAGGATCCGATCAAGTTGGTAAGTTGCCTATAAATAGTACACTGAGATCCCAAGTTCAACTCTCGCATGCGTAATACAGATAACAAAGCCCACGGTTCCATGCATCACCGAGAACGTGAATCCACTTGAAGGGCTGTTTGGTTCATTTCCATAAAATTATGGAAATGAATTCCAAGGCAAAAAACCATTTCCAAAAAAAAAATGGATATCAAATAAATCCATAACTTGTGTTTGATATGGAATTATAAAGTGAAGAATAGGAAAGCATATCCAAAACTCATGTTTGTTTCATTGCCAAATAATTTAGGGAGTTGTGAAGGAAATGATGAGTTGTCACATTATTGTCAGCTTTCTAGCCCATTTCCGAGCTAAAAAAGAGGAATTGTGCTTTCCATAAATTGAGCTGTCATGTCAGCTTTTAAGAAAGATATTCTTAAAAAAAGTCGAACCAAATGACAGTTTTGAAATTCTATATTGTCAAAAAATCTACTTTTTATTCCAAAATTACAGGATTCCTAAAAATTTGGCCGAACCAAACAGCCCCTTGACCGATCACCATTCTAAGCCAAATAACACAAACTAAAACCCCCTCGAGCCAACAACTGCATAGAAGAGAGCAGAAACTCCAAAACACACTAATTAAAACAACAGAAGCCATAGTACTCAGAACACGAAGGTTCCATTTTAAACCTAGACATAATAGAGCCCAATGATAAAATGATAGTTCTGCTCTGCTCTACTTGCTTAATTTGACATATTATTCAAACTTATGAATTTTAGAAGCAGTAGTGCTGCCACGCGAGTAACTTAACAAAAAAAGCAACTGAAGGGTAAATTTAGCTCTAATGTGGCGTGTTTTTATTTATACAGGGTTCTCATGTTTTGAGCATGATGTTG